CCATATTTATGGTTTGTAGTTCAAATCATGGGTCTGTTAAAAAGAAAAAAAAATATTGCATCAGGAGCCTGATGAAAACTGTATCATGATTCTAATAAGGATTTGTCACGTATACAAACAGATTCATCAATGTATTAAATTAATTTTTGTTTACTAAGATGGGCTTGTCTGTGCACGTGACAAACCCTAATTAGAGTCATGATACAAAATTTTTTTCCTGTTAAAAGCTCTTGAATTTAGAGAGATCTCTAGATGAGTTTAGATTATTAAAAAAAACCTGATTCTTTTAAAAGCCTACTTTGTGATTTAAAAGAGAAATTTTTTATGTAACTTATGTATTAGTTTTTTAAGATTTACATGCATACCACTCAATTCCTATTTATTTATATATATGTCACCTAAACTTTAATTTTTGGAGCATTTACATACATACCACATAAATCTTACGTATTTATATATCTAACACCTAAACATTCATATTTACATGCATACCACCCAAATATTTAGCAACGCATTAAAAATATCATCATGATTATCTTTTTAGAAGAGAAATATACATTTTCACGCGTAGGTTTTTGAGACTTAGGTGTCACGAATGTAAATATCAGCATCTGGGTGTGAGATATGTAAATACATAAGAAATGTGTGGTATGTAAATTTCTCTTAATTACATGCATAGTACATAGCACTGCCTATAAACATAAAGTGTATTTCACTTTGTAAAACTTAAAATGTTGGTATTGTTGATGTGATACGTAAGATTTGGCTGATATAAATGTAAAAAAAACAAAATTTAGTTATTAAATATGTAAATACATAGAAAATCGGCGGCATATGCGTAAATGCCCCCATTAGTTTTTTATATGCATTATTTGCATGCTACTCAAATTGAGTCCTGCTTGAAAATCCATTTATGGAATCAGTTTTATCAAATTTATTCATGCAGCACATGGATGTTTAAAAAACTACCTACTGGAATGTATTGCTTTTGGTTGGGGACCAAATCCTCATGCAAGTTTGATCATGAGTTCACTTTTGTTATATTGAACCTAAGTCTAATGCAAACCAATTTATGAACTAAACCCTTCAGCTATAAGTTTAATATTGGGTATAAATGTAAAAGGTAATGTTTAAATGTTAGATATGTGAATACATAAGAATTGTGTGGTGTGCATGTAAATGTGCACTTAAAAAATTAAAATTTAGGGGCGGTTACATAACACACAATTCTTATTTGGTTTTATATCATATACCTAAACAATCATATTTATACTTGTAGCACTCAAATCTTTTGTATTAATTTTATTATAATTTTTTTCAAGTGAAATTCAACTTTTCATGTGTGAATTTAAAGCATTAAGGTTACATACACATACATACATACACATACATAAATACACATACATACATGCATACAGACACATAAATATACATACATACATACATATACATACATACCCATACATACGTACATACACATACCTAATTATACATACATGCATACACATACATACATACATTGACATACATATATACACATACATACATACATACCTAAGCTTTCATATTATATATATATATAATATTTTAATTTTTACATAAAGTTAATATTAAAGCTCAAATATTAGATACATAAATATGCTAAAATTATAGGAAGATTTACAGGCATACCACACAATTCCTATATATTTACACATTTAACACCTAAATTTTGATTTTCAGCTGTATTCCACTTTACCAAAGATGCATTTCACTTTTTCAAATTAACAATAACAATATTATTTATATGAAAAATTAAATTTTAGTTGATAAATGCGAAATAACATAAAAATATATGTCCCAAAATTATATATTATTTATGAACATATATTATCGTGAAATATAAAATCAATTTCTCTAGATGATATCAATGTAAAATTCTTCTGTATGCATCCTAATTCTCCGCCGCAGACTTGAAATGATCGCCCCGACGGCTAAGTGGTGAGCTCCGAGCGCAGGGGGATAAGGATCAAGCCATTCCTACTCCTCCTCCTCCTCCTCCTCTCCTCTCTCGCAAACCTAACCCTAGACCCCAAATCCCCAATATGCTCTGATTCGTATAAGGTCGGCTGCGGGGGCGATCAAACGATTGCAGGATCGATTGCCATCGATGATCTGGCCGTCAAGAGAGAGGAGTGACTAAAGATGCCCTCGTATGCTGATCTGGACCGTCAGATCGAGCAGCTGAGGCAATGCAAGTTTCTAACGGAAGCAGAGGTGAAGGCTCTCTGCGAGAAGGCGAGAGCGGTCCTCATGGAGGAATGGAACGTGCAGCCGGTGAAGTGCCCTGTAACCGTCTGCGGGGATATACACGGCCAGTTTTATGATTTGATGGAACTGTTCAAGATCGGCGGTGAAGCTCCGGATACCAATTATCTCTTTATGGGAGACTACGTGGGTTAGTGCGGGAGATTAGCTTGCTTTGTTTCAAATTGTTTGGTTTTGTCGTCGCTTCTATGGGGTTGCTTGTGTTCTATATAAGTGTGGATATTAGAAAATATTGTATCTAGAATCCGGATACAGCTATGCATCCAGACTCCAAATGGGATTTCGCGCGGCGGACCTATTGAATAAAAAATGAAAAATTCTATATTTTAATGCATGACCCGACTCGACTCAATCTAAAAAAACTCTTTGCGCCGAATTAATTTTCATTTTCTACTAATGCTATCAGGTAGGATTTCACAAAGCGATTTTCTTAGTTCCTCTTTCTCGTCGGACGAAAAACATTGATAATGAAATTTGAAAAAAAATGATGATAAGTTTTAAATGGAGGTGATGAAATCTAAAAAAAATTATGAAATGTTTGAAATGTAGGTGATAGAATCTGAGAATAGTGACGAAAAGTTTGAAATGGAGTTGAGTTTGGCTGCATTTGAAATGTCGACATCAATTTATAGTATTATTTTGGTCTTATTGGGATTGGTATTATTGTGACGTTATTGAAGAGTTATTGCGATGATTTTGTTGTGTTATTATAATGTTATTCTAATATTATTGTGGTTTTTTTAGGTGTTATTGAGATGTTATTGTGGTATTATTATGTTGTTTTTTGGTGGTATTGTGACTTTATTAATGTGATTGAGGTGTTATTTGAGTGATATTATGACAGTTCTGTGATGGTATTAGACTGATGTTATTACGGTGTTATTATGATGCTTTGAGGAACATTTTTTCTTTTAGATGCGCCACCAACAACATCTAGGGTTGTTTATCAACAATAGAAATTAATATAATTTCTACATTTTTGACATTTTCCTTTTTGATGTGTTCTATGAAGATTGATCTGTGTGTATCTTTATATATTGCATAAATTGATATAAATGTCATCATGGGATGAGTATACAAATAAATGCTACATTAAATTTATAAGATATTGTTGAACTTGAATAATTATCCAATGTAGTGGTGATACATATAGAAATGGTATGTATAATGTCGACGATTTAATCTCTGCGATTTAATCTCGTTTATCTATTATTAGAGCAAAAGCATCGACGTGTTCGTTATCAAACCATTCATTTAACAGTATGTTTTCAAGGCCAGCACAACTAACTACCATATATCCAACATCAATCATAACATCACTTCTGCAGCGTTAACACATAGTTTTTATTATATTCAAATAAAAAAGTTTTGTATAACAGAGAAATATGAACATTTACATACTGATCATTCCATCTGCTGCAATATCGATCAATTACTTGTTGCATTTCAAGAGGTATTTCTGTTCTACTGGTAAAATCGACGCTGACTGAGCTGACTGGCTGAGCTGGACAAGGCTAATAATCTTTAATGTCAACTTAAAAGTTGTGGTACACAATATCAAGAGTTATTTTTTCATAAAATATCTGTCACATAATCATTTGCCTAAATAATCTCTATCCTATTGTCTTGGAGATCTCTCTCCTTATCCGTGATTGTAATGCTCACTGGAGTTAGAGATTCTACATCTTTTATTGTTTGTTTTACTTGTTCAATATCTGAAAATAACCCGTCACCCTTAACAACTGGAGTATTTACGACATCCTTTATTGTGTGTTGTTCCACAACATCTTTTATTGTTTGTTGTTGAGTTGATTTTTGAACATCGATTTCATCTTTTATTGTTTGTTCTGTTCGTTCAATATCTACAAGTAACCTCTCACTCCCAACGAATAAAGTATCCACAACATCCTTTATTGCATGTTGTTCCACAACATCTTTTATTGTTTGAACATCTACAGATTTAGTTTTCCTCCTCTGCAACTCAAATGTAGTGTACGAGAAACTCAATTTTCTCTTCCTTTTTTTTTGTCTGGCCTTAACCCTTCGAATTATACAACCAAGTGAGGATTGATATGTTTCTTTCTTCATTGAATTCCCGTCCTATACCATTATTATATTTTCCAATTTATTAACTTAACTCTTCAAGTCTGTAACTTTATTTTGTAAATTGAATGCTTTACTGTTTATTGATTCTTGAAATTCACAAAGAATTTTTTCTAGATTTCTAAGTAATTGAATAATTTCTTCAAATCCTTTATTGACCCCTATGCACGTTGGCTGCGAAGTGATGTCACTTGAAATGAGAGGGTTCACATCACATGAAATTGGTGATTGTGGTATGAAATGAGTTTCATGGATGATATAACTAGGCGTTTTAATTGGACTAGGTTGTCCTACGACTGCAGAAGTGAGCATGTGGTGTTCTTCGTCTTTCAAATCCAGAAGGGTATCTTAAACCTATAACGTGTCATAATTACAATCACACGTAAACTGAATTTTCCAAAAAAGAATAAAATTATTTAATGAGATAAAACTCCGCACAGGGTTGAGCTTCTTAAAAGTTTGATGTATCAGGTATGAGTCCCAACTCACATTTGTTGGCCACCTCAACATGCGAGGCCTAGGCTCAGGTGCAGCAGAAGTAACAATAGATGTATGCTCATAAAATCGGAGCTCTGTAAAAGTTAAATCATAATTTGGTTTGACTTAAAAAGAGAAATCATACTCTGCTTTGACTAAAAAAAGAAATTTAAAATGATGTAAACATCATACTAACCGTGAGTAGAAAAATAAATCCATTGATATCGCACAATGACTGATTCAACCTTAATTTTGTGACGATGACATTCACTTGGTTAATAAAAAACTCACAAACGACAACAAACCAATTAAAAGAAGGAAAAAAAAATGTACATTCTCACCACTAAAGTCATTTGGGCACACTAAAGTTGCTCGAAAGAAGAAATAAATTTGTTAACAGAAACTTTAAAAACAATTCATCAAATGACATAGAGCACTCTCCTGATAAATAGATAAAACTTTCACTAAGTATTTCTTTATCTGTCTCGCAGTTACACCACAAGTGGGAGTTTTATTCCAGTGTTTTGGTTCTCTTCTGTTGGGTATGCCTATCAGTAGGGCAAATTGGTCAAAGTCTAATCTTAATTCTTTCTCGCCCATCCTGAATACACTGCTGAACATCCCAACATTTTAGGACGTGTAGTGTTAGGAAATTGAAAAATTGAGATAGATCAAAAAATTGAAGCACTTTCAAAACTTTCAAGGTGTTCACAGTTTTCTCAGATAGGTTGACCATTATCAAGGCGTGTTTGACCATTATCAAGAACATATCTCACTATAGATGGTCGACACCAACAATTGAACATTCTTGGGTTCAAAAACCTACAAAAGAAGATGATGCAAGAAAGACATTTTGTTAACGTCAAAAGTGTTCATAATAACACCAAAATATTTCTACAATAGCACCAAAATATGTCCAGAATAACACCAAAATAGATCTAGAATAATATAAAGATATGTCTAGAATAACACGAAGATATTGTTCACAATAACACCAAAATATATCCAGTATAACGCCAAAATGTGTAGACAAATTAGAAACCTAATAACATCAAAATACATGCCCAGGATACAACACAGATATGCTCATAACAGAATAACAACAAAATATATACATGGTAACACCAAATATGTTCGGACAAATTAACACCTTTATTACACCAAAATATATTCAGGATACAACATACATATCACCACAATAACATCGAATCAACAACAAAATAACACCATGTTGCCTCCAAAATGATCATGTTATGCAACTGAGATACTGCTATACTAACATCAAATTAACACCTCTACATAATCAAATTACCATAAAAAAACCTGCATGCAAAAACACCAATTCAAAATACCACTCAAATAATACCACAATAACACATTAACAACAGTCTAATAACACTGTAATAATATTGCAATAACGTCACAATAATACCCCAATAACATCTCAATAACACGAATACCACAACAGAATCGCCACAGTACGACTCAAAAAACTATGCATAGGTAGGGCGGCATATTTATATATGTAAAAATTGAAATTTAGGTATTAGATATGTAAATATATAAAAATTAAGTGGTATATAAGTAAATCTTCCTCTTTTTTTTGCCTGTTCCTTTCTGGATTAGCCGGTTCTGTCTATATTCTTAAATGCAATAAATCTATCTCGTGGAATTGGATATGTATCTGTTTTAAATAAAGTAAATTTTATAGAGTTGCTTGTGCTAGATAGAGTACATGCTAGATGGGAAAAAATGAAAAACCCCAAACTTTTCTTAGCGTTGCTTTTTGAAATTAATGCTAGTTGTACGCTTTAACCTTCAAGCAGTAAGTTGATAGTATCATGAAAGTATCTTGCTTCTTTATAGTGTCCTACTCGGTACTGGCATTTTTGTACAAGTTTGCTCGGCTAGATGAATTCAAAGGAATATGGGGCATAGTGATAGTGAAAATGTTTATGCGGGCTGTTTAAATGCAATGCATAGTGGATTACAAGATCTTAAATGACTATAATTTTTGGTGTTAAGATATAGGAGATGACGACCATGCCTTTTTTATTAGATATTAATGCACCCATTCTGGTGGATATTTATCCTTGCAAGTTTATTGTGAAATCTTAGAAATGTATGAAATATAATTTATTACAATCAATTAAATAAATAGTTAGATTATGATGTTGAGCCATCACAATTTGATCAATTTCTTGAGCAAGGAAATTTTTGCATAAACCATGTTAATATTTATAAAGAGGGGATCGAGAGGAGGAGAATTTTTCTTAACAAGATGTCAACATTTAATTTTTGTTTTATGTGTCTCGGACTTGGTTTAGCATTTTTTATTTGTCATGTTTGGTTGCTAAGCATGAAGTCACCACCACTACTATATAAATGGAAAATGCTGCTCCTAGAGCTTTTTGTCAGCCATAATGAGTATAGCACATGTCAAATACACATTAATGTACAAATCAAAGTTGTGGCGTGTTTTTAAAAAGAAAAGAAGATTAAAAGAATTACCAAATTAAGCATTAGTTTATGAAACTAATTACAAATATTTATTATCCTTTGATGATTGTTGTTCTATGAGCTAGGATGCCTTATAGTTTTACTTTTGTAATGACTCAATATACTCTTTTTAACGCAAAGCAGAGTTCAATGGATTGGTTTGGATGAATTGCATCTAGACTCTTAGGCCAAGATGATGTTTTACTGCTTACAATTTTTAAATTTTTTTTGTTTAGGTCTTTAGAGTATAGAAAATTTTTTGAAGCTCTTTGGTTGAAATTGTTATTTGATAGCAAACTGTTAAAAATACCCCTCGTAAGTACTTATTGTTTCTCTTAAAAGCCTAACAACAAAAAAAATGTTGGTTTAGATTGGGGACAGTTGATAGCTCTAAGCTTTCCTCAATCTCTTTGCTATCTAGCCCAATCCTAATCAACAAAGGTTGATGGGTTATGTTGGTTCTGGCGGTGGCTACTAATTACTAACAGAGCGCTTATCAACAACATCCCCTCTTTATCTCCCGACCCTACTGGTTATGACTTGGTTTAGTGATGTGGTTTTCCTAGTTTATTGTGATAGCCAAATGCTTTGTTTTATTCTTTTTTATTGACAAACCAAGCAAATGGGAGTTCCTTCAATAATTAAAATCAAACCAACCAAATGCTATTTCATTTTGTTTTTTTTATAAGTGAATTTCTAATGAAATTTGGTTGTGCATTGAATTGGATTGGATCCATTGTCCAATTTTATTTTGGATACTTCCTCTATTTAGAATCCCTGCTTTTGATTTCGGACTAGGTTCTAAATCTAAAATTTAATTTTGGATTGGACTTCATATCTGGTTATGGATTTTGGACTTGTATTTCGTATCAATTGATTGACTAATAAATTATGAATGAATAATTATTAGTATTTTTAATTTGGTTGATTATATTAGACACAAAATCATGTGGAAGGCAAAAATTAATTTGCAAATATTCATACCAAAAACTGAATTGCCAAACATGACATCAAACCTATTTCTCAGTTTCATTTGATTAATTCAAACTACTCGATTGGGTTGGAGTTGGTGGCGTGGTTACTTACCACCTTTCCATCCCTCTTTTCTCATTATGTATCTTTCAATGTCGACCCCAACAAATAATGCGTCGGTCTGGGGCTATGGTGGTTGCTGACCTTCTCCATTGAGAATGTATGAAACTTTGGTTAGGAATTGTTGGGACAATGAAAATTTTTGAAGGCGTTGGAATTATACAAAAAGGTAGTGCAATTGTATATATTGTGGTGCATTTGTTTTCTTACTTTTTTTTTATTTAGCGCCATATGTATTTGAGAGTTATGCAATTGTATTTGAGAGCCTTGCATGCATAAATCTCCTTATTCTGAAAAATAATTTATTATTTTCTATATTTTCTTTATGTACAAATCCTCTTCTCTTAAAGAAAAGAGTTATTAATTTATATATTGTCCTTCATGGAGTTAGAGTTGTGCTTTCTTCTTTCTTGCAAATAACCATGAACAATGATGATGAAGAGTACTTTAAAAGCCTCGATTTACTACTCTCTATGGCCGAGTATCATTGCTTTACCATGCTTCACTGCAATCTTCTTCATCTGCTAAATATACTGCCATCATAGAACATTGAGATCTTCGTAAGTCATGTTAAATATAACCTTACGCTCAGCATCCTTCATTAGCTTCATGTGTCTATATCTATTCTCAAATCTTTTTACTCCCGGGCACTCTCTCTCTCTCTCTCTCTTTCTTGCTTGTGTATGCGGTATATTTATCTTTGAAACATTATTTATATTTCAAAAATACTTGGTGAGGGGCATAATATTTTCAGCTGTGCATAGAATTCTTCATATTTTTTATCAAGTGTCAATTTGTTTTGCACTTCTGTTCAATAATAGTGGCTCACTGATATAAATGCAGACCGTGGTTATTACTCAGTGGAGACTGTAACGCTACTGGTGGCCTTGAAAGTCCGCTATAGAGATAGAATCACAATTCTCAGAGGAAACCATGAGAGCCGGCAAATAACTCAAGTGTAAAATGTTTTCTTTTTTGTTCATTTAGTTTGATCTCTAAACGGGCCTTTTTATAAACTAAACTGAGATTTATTAATATTACTTTGCAAAAACCATTTTTATTTTTATTTTGCATGCAGCAGCTTGCCTGAAATGAGAGCTTTAACCTGTTTATTTCAATTGAGATCATTGCATTAGTTATACTTCGGTTATTCAGTCTTGTTCAACAGTTTGTAGATTACATTTGTTGCATGAGTTGCTCATTTCTTTCTCCAGCTACAACTATTTTTTCGAACTGTATAAAATATACTTTTTACGCATATGCTCCTTTTTTTTTTTTTCAGATACTTGTCCTAAAGTTTACCTTATCTATTTATAGTTTCATAAGGCTGGCAAGTAACTATCATATAACATAGTAATATTGACGTGGGTGTCAAATAGGCGGATGGGGAAGTCGCAGGGTCTCGCGATGCCATGACTGTGAGGCGGGCATTCGATTCTCACGAGCAAGCAGAGCCAAACGGAAGGCCCCCTCTTTCTATTTCTTTCTAAATTTTAGCATGTTTTCTTTTATCCTTGCTTCTTTTATAATCATTTCCTATATATGTATTTTATTAGGGTTTGTATTCTCAGTTTTGGTATGTTTTTTTGTATCCAAGTGAGAGTGTTGCTCCGGTTATTGTATCTCGTTTCGAGGTAGTGACAATCCTCGACTTTCCTGTCCTACACATCCTTCCCTCAGCCGTCGCCGCACCTGCTGTTGCGGCTTTGAAACAGCCCTCCTTGGTTGTATATCTGCAGTTCACCTTGCCCCACCTTTTGACTTGTAACCGCCTTCCAAAATTCACATTTCCACCTTTTCCTTGCTTCCAACAACCCTAAACAGCTCTTTCCTTTGTCCTCTCTCCTATCGCCGTTCCAGCCCTCCATCTTCATTGTCTTTGCTTTCCAACCCTTCCCTGTTGTCATCATCATCCCAGACAGCCATTCCATGTTGATACCTGCTGTGTACTTGCTATTCGGAATTAAGAAAACTGTTGTCTTGTAGTTTTCTGCTTGCCATCCACCTCGTCCACCATATCGCTACCTTCCGAACTCTCACAGATCACCACCACCCCGAGATCCACCCTAGTTAAGTTTGTGTTATCATTTGTTCTAATTTCTGATTTCTTGTGTGTTTTATTTGTTGTTATTTCCTATTTTAGTTGCTGGTTATAATTTTTTATTTGGTTCAACAATAATATTTGGGTTTCTTATCGTTGTTGGTTTGACTCCGATATCATTTTGTATCAGACTAGCTTAATCTTAGTCTTATTCTAGAGTTACCGAAATCTCTCACTTCCTAACTCAATCTCCCCACATCCCTTTGCCTATTTTTCAAATCAACCCTCAAATTTTTTTCTTTCCCATCCTAAATTTATCCCGTGCACTCTCTTTCACCTCTCAAACCTAAAACCCTGGTCGCACCACCAGAGAAACAATTGTTAGAGATCATCGTGAGGAAATGATATAATGTTGTTTATGCAAAATCCGCAAAGAGATATTCTAAATTTTTCTTTGAAAACTTTACTGTATGAAATCTTTCAATTACAATAGAGGTTTTCCGCCTTTGAGAGTAGACCATCCATAGGGGTCACACAACTCCATTCAATTCCAGTGATGAAGGAACCACTATCCCGAAGATATGGTATGAAATATTGGAGGAGCCACTATTTTGAAGTAAATGTGGATTTGCCATATTTTGATGACCACATGGATCCGGACGAGTTCATTGAGTGGTTTTGGACAGTGGAACGTATATTTGAGTATCTGGGTATCCCACTAGATGGAATGATGAAATTGGCTGCCAACAAGTTAAGGAAAAGTGTATCTCGATTCCTCGACATCGAGAAAAGAAGAGTAAAATTATTACCCGATCTAAAGATGAAACGAGAGATGCAACGTCATTACCTACTAGTTCTTTACAAGTTGTTTAGACCCGAGCTTCAAAAGTAGAGAGACAACATTATTGGGTGACTGTCACATCTTATAGCGGAGTTCAACCCTATAATCAAGCAACAAGAACACACCAAACAGAGCATCCAAACTAACCACCTGATGAGAAACTAGTTCAGAGTGAAGAACAGGAGGAGCCAACAAACATTCCCAAATTCGTCTCGGCCAATAAGTTTTTCAAGTGCCACAAATTTAGACATATTGAATCAAATTGCTTAACTAGAGGAATGATCACTTTCATTGGGCAGGGAGCTGTTGAAGAAATAGATAGTGACATAGGAAACGATGAAGACGTTAGAGATGAGCCTCAACTTCAAGCCGATGCGGAAGAGACGTTGGTGATTCCAGATGAGCCAACAAGAGAGACTCTAGCCGAATTAGTGTAGGTTGTTCTAGAAGATAGTGAATTGAGAAGCTGATACCTGAAAATGGACAACCCTTGTTGACGAAATTTCCGGGCATCCTGACCAACAATTAACCTATGGGTGGTTACCACTAAAAGTGGTCCAATATGCCAGAAATAAAAAGCTCGTGAGCTACTTTTGGATGGCTTTAGTCCAATAGTGTACCCATATTCAGATGGCCAAACAGGAGGGATAAACCACAACTTTAGAAGTTGTATTAAGAGTTTGGTGGGAAAAAAAGTTCTACAATAGAATTCAAGTTCTACCAGAGAAGAAGAGACCTCTAGACCTCTTTGAGTGGTTTCTACTGAGATTTGTCCTACTTAACACAAATGTCATTCTCGAGTTAGTTCCTCTAGAAGAGTTGGTTTATCTGATGCACCCTGCCAAGTGCGAGGAGTGGAAGAGGCAAATTAAATATTTAGCGGCTTGAGAATTGCTGTAAGAATATACACTTATATGCAGCTTCAACTCAGGTTGTGCTAAAAGAGGATAAATACTTATTATTCCAGGATGTGTTTTAGAATGACAGTGCTTACAAGATTGGCTTACCATGAGATTACGCCAATTCTATTATCTTCAACAAGTTCGACTTGATGTTATACTATGAGGAGATAGAAGCTTCGATGAATGATGTTGAAGCTTTACCGATTTCGGGAGACAGACACGAGTGTCAAATAGGCGAACTCCATAGTTGTAGGAGTCATGTGGTCTCGCGATCCAGTGACAGTGAGATGGGCTCCAGGTTCATGCAAGCAAGAAAAGCCGAACGAAGGGCTCTTCTTTCCATTTCTTCCTAAATTTTAGCATGTTTCCTTTTATTCTTACTTTTTCTAGAGTCTTTTTCTAGTTTTGGTGTGTTTTAATGTCGAGATAGCAGTCGACTTCTCTGGCTTCTTCTTATATGGCTATAATTCAAAGGCGAGTGATGCTCAGACTATATCTCGTTCTGAGGTGGTGACTATCCTCAACTTTCCTTACCTCAACATTCTTCCCTCCGCTTCCACCATTGTAGTACCTGCTGCAGCCAACCGAAAAATGTCCAGCCCTCATTGGTTGTTTTTCTGCAGTCCACGTTGTTGCTGCCTTCCAAACCTCGCACTCCTCCCTTTGGACTTGCAACCGTGTTCTAGGAATCACATTTCCCCCTTCTACTTACTGCCGGCACCCAGTTCTCCATCATTACTCCTTTTGCCATTTCAATCCTCCATCTTCATTGTCGTTGCTTTCCAACCATCCCCTTTTGCTGTCATTTTCCCGGACAGCCATTCCATGTTAATCCCCTTTTTCTTGCTTTCTAGAATCTGGGAAACCATTGTCTTATTATTTTCTGCTTGCCAACCACCTCATCCACCATCCTGCCATCACCTTCCAAACCCTCACCGATTACCACTACCTGAGATCCACCGTAGTTGAGTTTGTGTCATAGTTTGTTGTAATTTCAAATTTCTTGTGTGCCGTGTTTGCTGCTATTTCCTATTTCAATTGTTTGGTTGTAATTTTATATTTGGTTTAGCAATAATATTTGGGTTTCTTATCCTTGTTGGTCTAACCATGCTCTCAAATGTAGTCTTGACTATAGAAGCTTTATCAGTTAGATGTTTGTTTAAGGTAGCTCGTCAGTGGATAATGTGGCTGAAGGCTATACAAATTTAATGTTCATTATATGGTTCTTTAATAGCCTATGACAAGCATTTTGGGAGGCATTCTATCTACCTTGGAACCAGTCTAAAGTTCTTTTTTTTGTTTTCTTATATTTAAGAAATAGATAAACATGATAGAAAGCAGAATTATATTAAAAATAAAATAAAAATCAAGAAGTATGCAGAAAATTACAAAAAATTCTAGAATTATGAAACAATGCATAAAATAGGGGATAGATTTTTTGTGGAAATAAAGCGCCATGATTAGTGATACGCAGAGCTTATATCATAAAAATGATTTTAATAAGGCAAATTTTGTGAAAAAAATAATCTTGGATGATCAATTATGGGATGAGATAGATTATATTATTATTTTTTTACAGGGCCAACATATCAACATATGACATTAATAGTTGTTGAAACAAATATGCCTTCTTTATCTTGTGTATGATATGTGTGATTCGATAAGATGAAAAAAGATTATATATCGATATGAGAGAAATATCGATTTAGAGAACTCTATTTCTTATGAAGTTGTAAATGATTTTTTTGTATAAAGATATGAAAAAAAACATAACTCCCCTTTGTTGCTTAGCTCACTTTCTAAATCCCAGAAAACGTTTAATTTTTTTTTTTACTCTTAGATTGTTTAATTACATAAATTGTAATCTCACATATTTGATGCATTATTTAATTAGGTATTGTAGTCATTTTTGGTTAAGTGAATTTCCAGATTGTGTTATTTCTCATAAATCAAATATATTAAATATGAGAAACAAACTTGGAAATATTTCTTTTCAAATATTAAAGATATATCAATGGTTAAATTGGCATTTGTCAACTTCTTTGGATTTTATGATTCTTGTGCTGATTATAACCCCATAACTTTTAGAAGCACTATGAATTTAAAGAATTGATGGATGATTTATGGACTTAGTTACCCAAGAATGAAAAAATTTAGCTTTTAAATCATTAGCT